CAACAGGTAATCATAAAATAGTTTTGAGCATGATAAAAATAAAAATTGTATTATAAATAATTTTATCATGTTAGGTATTAACTATTGCCAAGAGTACGATAAAGAACTTTTCATATTACAGATTCCACTGGCCTCCCGCCAGTTAGATGAAAAAAGTAATAACGAAGATTTATTAAAGAGAGGGCAATACTGCAGTACTCGCACACTTTCAAACACCGAAGATCCAGTTTTGTTTTGTGATTTTTATTCAGATATGCAAATGCGTTTGGAGGGTAAGGATGTTGATCCAGAAGCATTGGAACGTGATTGGCAGCTGACCAGCGAGTCTGTGCTCAATCAAGTAACTAATCTTAACGTACAACAACGCATAAACTTAGAGCAAATAAAAGCAATGAGGGCGAAGAAGGCTGCAGTTGCAGCAAGCGCCAAGGAAAAAAAGGCACAATCGTCACCTACAGAAAATAACGTCAAAGATACATGAAATAAGATGGGTAAAATTTTTAAGTATGTTCTTTGTTTCTACAAAATTTTATTTTCTTCTGATCGCGNTGTAGGTTTTGCTTTTTTTGCCTCATCCATAGACTGCGTTACGAGTAAGCCACTCCAACCAGCATTAAGGGCACCCAAGTAATCCTTTTCATAAAGATTGCCTATATGTAGCGCTTCCTGAGGGTTTAAATGATAATTCTCTAACGGTTTCAGGAATGCTCCCCGATGCGGCTTCTCGACGCCCAAATCATATGAGGTATATACAAAGTCAAAATTTTGTCTAATGTTCATATCCCTCAACACACGTTCTAACCCGGGATCAGTATTGGAGATGACGCCAACATATTTGCATGTGCTCCGTATTGTTTCCAGTAATTCTAAATTACCTTCGATGTGAGCATAACACTGATTTGAACGGTATTGTTCAAAAAGTCTTTCGCTTATACCACGAATTTGTTGCTGTGGTAAGTTGTCATCTATGCGCTTGAAGACATTGTGCACCAACTGCACCCACCATTCCTGCCAACTTATTTCTTTGGAATTGCTGCCAAAGTTTGGATACTTCTTAGCCATAGCTTTGAATTCATCACGAAATACTTTTTGTAAGCGATTCGGGTCCAGATTTTTCACACCCATCATAGCTGCCGTCTCAGCATATTGTACGCCGGGAGGCTTTCTGAATCTAAGCAACGTATCGGTGATATCGAACGTAACCAACTTAAAACGACTTAGATTTTTAACTAGTTGAGCTCGCCGCGGCATTCTGGTTAAATTGAAATTGCTTCCTTTGTTATCAATTTGATATTCTTCGATTGTTGATAAGCCGGTAGCTTGTTTTTTTTTATAGCGAACTTGAAAGATTATCTAATGGATAATAAATAATTAACAGCTGTTTTATGATAACAAGGCAAGGTTGCAAAGTATAGGCATATCTAAAATGACGCGACATATTGAACGTTTTGTTTTATTTGGGGTGTTCACAGTTCGTTCCAAATTGTGTCTGAAAATGT